CATGGACCTGATCGAGTGTGTCCAGCCCGACCAAGCGAGCACGATCGAGCACCCGGACTTACAAGAGGAACCTGAACACGGACGAGCCGAGAGAGGACCCGAACGAGCCCAACAAGCACCCGACCGAGCTCACCTTAAACCGACTTTGTAATTTGTCTTTTTGTGTTTTAGGGCTTCCTGCCCTTAGTATAAATAGACCCTTTGGGTTGCTAAAAATGAGTTTTCATTAGGGTTTTTCTCTGTAGCCACCAAACATTTCCAGAAACTTGTAATCTTTATATCTTTTGATCTATTGAGAATTTGGAGTTGTTTCTTACAATATCTTGCTCCTTAGATCATTATCTATCTAGTTATGAAAGATTCAAAGATTTTTGGGTTTGTGTTCTTCATGATGAACTCCATATCTGAGTAGTTTTTCTAGGGTTTAGAGGATGGGTTAGGTGATGAGGAATCTTAGTTTCTAGGGTTGCTTAAGTATAGATTTAGGTAGATACCTTCTGGATTAGGAGATCTTAATGCTATCTTAGCATTAACCATGTGGGATTAGATCTTAGACATTCCAGCACTCAAAAAGTGTTCAAATGGAATGTCTGATCAACTAATGCCAGAGATCTATTTGCTTACCCAAGAGATTGGTTGTTAAGGAGTAGATTGACATTAATGAGCTTGTTCTTTATGCCTATTTATAATATGTTTCATCAATGAAAGTTGAGATTAGGAAGTGCTATAGATCTGATAATCTTTGCCAAGAGATTGGACTGATTAGGTTAAGTGGTTCATTGTCTAGGATTAGATTTATCTGAGCATGTTAAGCATCCCAAAGTTACTAAGTGGATTCATCACCCCATTAGCCCATCCTTAAGACCCTTTGTCTATCTGATTGATTACCTGCTTTTACTTATTGCTTTCAATATTGCTTTTTTAGTTTACTTTTAAACATTATAGTTCTTTAAACCAAACCTTGAATTACTTGGCTTGACTTGATTAGATCTGCTATATCTTGATTGTTTACAATACATCCATCTGGATCGATACCTCTTATGCTACATCGCATTGGGGAATTGAATTCCAAGGGTACAAAAATACATGTTTCAATATCCATCAGTTTCAGTCTCTGAGTCATCGCTTTAATGTTCTTCTTCTTCACTATTATCACCATCGCTGTATCCATCACTCACATATTCATCCTTTTTCGTATCCATTATATCATAAAGACCTTCATCTTCTTCTTCCTCTTGCTCATAGTCGTCATCCATTGCATAGATGGTTGTTATGGCCCAAATACAAGTTAGTGGCAGAAATGAAAGATGTCAGTGAAAGAAAGCATAAAAAAGGACATGCTTCGTGCCATTGATGTTGAAACTAGGCCCTCTTCCACCCTAGATGTAGAGTTCATATATAAGTCCATGCTGACATATATCAACTTTTTAAGTATAACTGTGAAGAAATATGTGCTGCGGAACTGTCAGATAAAGTTATGAAGCTATGATTAACTTTTATGGTGCCCATGTTTGTCGTTCCTTCTAGGTCTAAAACTAATGAGACAATGAAAGATTTTGCAAAGATCAAAGACAACCAAGAGCACCATTATGCATGTGAGGTGTTGAGGATAAACACTGGTGACAGTTTTAAATCTTATATAAAAGGAAACAACATGATTTAGTTTTGTTTAAGTAAACCATTAGTAGCCCGAAAAACGCCTAAGAAAGAAAACCTAAAAGTACAAGGATATGCACAAAACCCTCAATATTGGTGATCAACTGTAGTTCTCACCCCAACATCCTCTCTTTCTCACCAACGACTTGATAGATACATAGTCTAAGTGATTTATGTGGACAAAAACTATTTTCGCCCGTATATATATGAAAAATATGAAAACGATGAATGTGAGGAAAAATAAAAAGACATAGGTGTTTGTGCCCAATTAAATATGAAAAAAACAAGATAGATCCATGATTATTTTGATCTTATTTGATTCCTTTACAAAATTGATTTTATAATTTTCTTAAATGTGTATTTGAAATGAATTTTATGCCTTAATAGTAATCTAACTTTCTGTATGAAAATTTTATAACTATCATCAATTAAATATAATGTTACCAAATTATATCAAATAAACCCACGCTACGCGTGGGTTCACAACCTAGTCTATACTTTATAAAAGTTGAGGCTATAAGCTTTTGAAAGCTTCCACATAGGATTTTAAACGACCAATAGGGATTAGACATCTCAATATTTAACATTTTTCAAATTACAATAATTTCTTTATTAAGTTTTTAATGTAAAAAGGAAAATAATAAGATTATGGACATAAAAGATATATTATAAAATATGGAGATATTTCTAAATTTAATATTTCATTTTCATAATAAATAAATTATATAAAAATAATCAAAATGCAAAATTTTAATTTTTGTTAAATTTTAAAACGAAAATACTGAGATTTATTGTGAATATTGTGTTTGAGTAAATTTCTATTTTAAAAAGTTAAATCAGTTGATAACCCCATATTTTACCCAATTTAGGCATACTTTTATTGCATGTTTTTTCATAGTTTGAGTCTTGTTTCATATGCATTAGAGTCTCTTTTCTTTCATTTTCCACTCTTAGGTTGTTTTTGCATTAGTATTGCATATTTTGTGAATTTCGAGCATTATTAGGTGTTTTGGAGCTCTAAAAGAGAAGGAAGGTGTTCTTTTCATTTTTGGGACTAAACAAGAGAATTGGAAGTATAAAGAATGAAAAAGGAGGCACTCGACCAACCAACTCGACCGCGTCAACAATCATCCGATCGGATGCATTATACGTCCCTCAAAGATAGACTCGAATGAAGATCTTGAGTTGGGTTCTAGCTTCCACGTTCTTCATCAAACTTGTTGGAAATTGAGTTATCACTGTTTTACTGAAGGTATATACATCCAGATTGAAGATTGAAGCTGACCCGACCAAGCCACTATCTGACCCGATCAGATGGAGTGAATTACCAGATTTTTTAACTAAGCAATGGACCCGACCGAGTCTTGGATGGACCCGAACGAGCCCAACATGCACCCGACCAAGCTCACCTCAAACCGACTTTGTAATTTGTCTTTCTCTGTTTTACGGCTTCATGCCTTTATTATAAATAGACCTCTTAGGTCATTAAGCCAAAAACGAGTTTTCATTAGGGTTTTTCTCTGTAGCCACCAAACATTCCTAGAAACTTGCAATCTTTATATCTTTTGATCTATTGAGTATTTGGAATGTCTGATCAAGGAATGCCAGAGATCTATTTACTTACCCAAGATATTGGTTGTTAAGGAGTAGATTGACATTAATGAGCTTGTTCTTCATGCCTATTTATAGTATGTTTCATCAATGAAAGTTGAGATTAGGAAGTGCTATAGATCTGATAATCTTTGCCAAGAGATTGGACTGATTAGGTTAAGTGGTTCATTGTTTAGGAATAGATCTATCTGAGCATGTTAAGCATCCCAAAGATACTAAGAGGATTCATCACCCCATTAGCCCATCCTTAAGACCCTTTGTTTATCTGATTGATTATCTGCTTTTACTTATCGCTTTCAATATTGCTTCTTTAGTTTACTTTTATGCATTAGAGTTCTTTAAACCAAACCTTGAATTACTTGGCTTGACTTGATTAGATCTGCTATATCTTGATTGTTTACAATACATCCATCTGGATCGATACCTCTTATGCTACATCGCATTGGGGAATTGAACTCCAATGGTACAAAAATACCTGTTTCAATTTTTAATGAGCTTGTTCTTTATGCCTATTTATAGTATGTTTCATCAATGAACGTTGAGATTATGAAGTGCTATAGATCTGATAATCTTTGCCAAGAGACTGGACTGATTAGGTAAAGTGGTTCATTGTCTAGGATTAGATCTATCTGAGCATGTTGAGCATCCCAAAGATACTAAGAGGATTCATCACCCCATTAGCCCATCCTTAAGACCCTTTGTCTATCTGATTGATTATCTGCTTTTACTTATTGCTTTCATTATTGCTTCTTTAGTTTACTTTTATGCATTAGAGTTCTTTAAACCAAACCTTAAATTACTTGGCTTGACTTGATTAGATCTGCTATATCTTGATTGTTTACAATACATCCATCTGGATCGATACCTCTTATGCTACATCGCATTGGGGAATTGAACTGCAAGGGTACAAAAATACCTGTTTCAGTTTGTTTCAATTTGGCGCCGCTGCCATTTGGATGTTATTCTTTCCATTTAGGATCTCAGTTCTATCTAGATCAAGTTCTTTTACTTTCTTTTATATTCGATTATTGATTTCTACCGTTGCTACTTGTTTGTCTTGCATCTCAGGTACACTCGACCGAGCTACACTCTGCACTCGACTGAGCTACACTCTGCACTCGACCGAGCTACACTCTGCACTCGACCGAGCTACACTCTGCACTCGACCGGGCCAACTACAGATCCGATCGAGTCTGCCACGTGTTTCTGATCGAGTAACCTTGCATGCACACCAGATCAAAGGCAACCAGCACCTACTCAATTACCTCAACAACATTGACCGCTTGCCAAGACAACTCAGAAAGCAACGCGTTCAAGCATAAGACAACAACCCTCATCAAGTGGAAATGGAGCCTCCACCATGCGCCCCAACCCTAATCAGATCCGGTGATGCCCCACGAAACCACACAACTAGACAAGGAATAGTCCCGCCAGCAGTCCAGAACAATAACTTCGAAATTAAAAGCAGTCTCATCTCAATGATACAAGGAAATAAATTCCATAGATTATCAATGGAGGATCCACTCGATCACCTCGATGAGTTCGATCGAATGTGTGGCTTAACAAAAATCAACGGGGTGAGCGAAGATGGGTTCAAGCTGCGATTGTTCCCTTTCTCCTTAGGCGACAAGGCTCATCAATGGGAGAAGTCTTTGCCAGCCGGTTCAATCACGACCTGGGAGGAGTGTAAAAAAGCATTCCTATCCAAATTTTTCTCCAATGCAAGAACCGCCAGATTGAGGAATGATATCTCTAGCTTTGCTCAGCGTAACAACGAAACCTTTTATGAAGCATGGGAACGATTCAAGAGCTATCAGTCACAGTGTCCTCACCACGGTTTCAGCAATGAGTCGCTGCTTAGTACTCTCTATCGAGGGATACTACCTAAGTTTCGCCTACTTGATTGCTTGCCAAATTGAAACATGTATTTTTGTACCCTTGGAGTTCAATTCCCCAATGCGATGTAGCATAAGAGGTATCGATCCAAATGGATGTATTGAAAGCAATCAAGATATAGCAGATCTAATCAAGCCAAGCCAAGTAATTCAAGGTTTGGTTTAAAGAACTCTAATGCATAAAAGTAAACAAAAGAAGCAATATTGAAAGCAATAAGTAAAAGCAGATAATTAATCAGATAAACAAAGTGTCTTAAGGATGGGCTAATGGGGTGATGAATCCTCTTAGTATCTTTGGGATGCTTAACATGCTCAGATAGATCTAATCCTAGACAATGAACCACTTAACCTAATCAGTCCAATATCTTGGCAAAGATTATCAGATCTATAGCACTTCCTAATCTCAACTTTCATTGATGAAACAGACTATAAATAGGCATAAAGAACAAGCTCATTAATGTCAATCTACTCCTTAACAACCAATCTCTTGGGTAAGCAAATAGATCTCTGGCATTAGTTGATCAGACAATCCATTTGAACACTTTTTGAGTGCTGGAATGTCTAAGATCTAATCCCACATGGTTAATGCTAAGATAGCATTAAGATCTCCTAATCCAGAAGGAATCTACCTAAATCTATACTTAAGCAACCCTAGAAACTAAGATTCCTCATCACCTAACCCATCCTCTAAACACTAGAGAAACTACTCAGATCTGGAGTTCATCATGAAGAACACAAACCCAGAAATCTTTGAATCTTTCATAACTAGATAGATAATGATCTAAGGAGCAAGATATTGTAAAAACACAACTCCAAGTTCTCAATAGATCAAAAGATATAAAGATTACAAGTTTCTGGAAATGTTTGGTGGCTACAGAGAAAAACCCTAATGAAAACTCATTTTTAGCTTAATGACCCAAGGGGTCTATTTATACTAAAGGCAGGAAGCCCTAAAACACAAAAAGACAAATTACAATGTCGGTTTAAAGAGAGCTCGGTCGGGTGCTTGTTGGGCTCGTTCGGGTCCTCTCTCGGCTCTTCCGTGTTCAGCTTCCTCTTGTGAGTCCGGGTGCTCGATCGTGCTCGCTTGGTCGGGCTGGACACACTCGATCGGGTCCATGCTTTGCAGTGTCCGAATGTACCTGTTTTTGCTCTAAAATGCAGATGATATGCAAATACCTATGCTAAAAATCCTAGATGCGAAATATAATGCAAAGAGACTAGAAACCCTAAGAAGTAAAGACCTAGACATGCAAATAATGCACAAAACATATGCTTAAGAGTATAAAAATATAGGGTTATCAAAAATCGAGTTGGATAATTGTACTGGTTAGCCCTCACAATTCACCTATAAATATAGAGTCTATACCTCTAAATTAGTACTTGGTTCCATTAGTTTCGTAGTTCTAACTTTTTTGTTAAATTCTTTTTTATTTTTGGTTTAGTTCATATTTTGATAATATGATTTTCTTTCTATTGCGTTTTCCGAATAGTTTCTATTATTCGAGTAGCTTATCACCCATTTATGAGTTTGTAATTCTATTTGAGGTTATAATTGTTTTTTAATGTTGTATTATTTTTTGCCGTGTATTGATTGTTTAGTGCAATTCTAAGTTTTTAATGGCTTATGTAAGGAGTATTGTCTATATTGGGATATTCGAAAGGGAAATTGGAGAAATTGGAGAAGATAAATGATATAAAACTAATCAAAATATATAATTGAACTTTTATTAATTCTAAAAACGAAAATATTTAATTTTTTGTTAATTTTTATGTTAAATTATTTCAAAATTTATTGTGAATAATGTGTTTGAGTAAAATTTTCTATTTTTAAAAAGTAAAACTAAGTTGGATAATTATGCAGTTATCCCTAACAATTAAACAGTAAATATAGAGTCTCGACCTCTACATTAGTATCTGGTTCCATTAGTTTCGTATTCTGGTTTTTGTTGTTGTTGGTGTAGCTCATATTTTTGATAATATGATTTTCTTTGTATTTAGCGTTTTTGGAATTGTTTGTATTATTTGAATTGCTTATATTTTTATATTTTTATATTTTTATATTTTTTTATTCCATTTGAGATTATATTGTGTTTTTTAATAGTGTTGTATTATTTTTCTGTGTTTTAATTGTTTAGTGCAATTCTAACTTTTTTCTTTTTTATGGTTTATGTACTTGGAGTATGATGTTAGGCTGATGATGCTAAGGTAAAAACCACAATCCGATATCTTTATTTGTTTTTATTATTTATTGATATCTTGGTTAGTTACTTTGTTTGTTGTTTTTATGAAATTTTGTCTGAGTATTTTTGAAACATCAAACTAAATTATGGTAGAAAATGCATATAATTTCGAATTAAAAATTTTAGATGGACGATTTTTTTAAGAGTAGTGAATTCATTAATCGTCATTCATAAATAGTTTTCACAAAATTATATCGCGTGGGTGCAAAACCTAGTCTATACTATATAAACGTTGAGGCTATAAGATTTTGAAGGTGTCCACATAGGATTTTAAATAACCAATAATAATTAGACATCTCATTAGTTAACAGTTTTTAAATTACGATAATTTCTCTATTAAGCTTTTTAGTAAAAAGGAAAATAATAAGAAATACGGTCATAAAGATATATTATAAAATATGGAAATATTTCTAAATTTAATATTTCATTTTCATAATAAATAAATAATATAAAAATAATCAAAATGTAAAATTTTATTTTTTGTTAAATATAAAAACGAAAATACTGAGTTTTTTTATTATTAAATTACCTAATAATTTATTTTGAATATTGTGTTTGAGTAAATTCTATTTTAAAAAGTTAATCGAGTTGGATAATATGCTGGTTAGCCCTAACAATTCAACTATAAATATAGAGTCTCGACCTCTAAATTAGTATTTGGTTTCATTAGTTTCGTAGTTCTTACTTTTAAAAAAAATATCTTTTTTTGGTGTAGTTCATATTTTGATAATATGATTTTATTTGTATTTGATTTTTTCGAATAGTTTTCATTATTCGAGTTTCTTATCACCCATTTATGAGTTTGTAATTCTATTTGATGTTATAATTGTGTTTTAGTGTTGTATTATTTTTGCCGTGTTTTGATTGTTTATTGCAATTCTAACCTTTTTAATGGTTTATGTAAGGAATATTTTCTATATTGGGATATTCAATCGGGAAAGATTTTTAATGAAGGAATTGGAGATGATGCTAGGAAGATATACAATTTTTATAAGGTTTTCATGATTTCTTTTTACGATATATAAAAGGTATATAAAGTTTTATACACATATAAATGTAATTTGTGTATTTATTTATAAGCTTATACACATATTTGGATAAATTTCAATATTTTTAGTGGTTTTTTTTTATAAAGTTTGAAAAGAGGTATTTTTAAAAAGAGGTATATGAAAAGGGGTATTTTTGAAATTTCCCCAAAAATAAATGATATAAAACTAATTGAAATATATAGTTGAACTTTTATTAATTTGGAAAACGAAAATACTTAATTTTTTGTTAATTTTTATGTTAAAATATTTCAAAATTTATTGTGAATATTGTGTTTGAGTAAAATTTTCTATTTTTAAAAAGTAAAACTAAGTTGGATAATTGTGAGAGTTAGCCCTAATAATTCAACTATAAAGTCTCGACCTCTACATTAGTATCTAGTTCCATTAGTTTCGTATTCTGATTTTGTTTTTGTCACGCCCGTGTCTGGAGATGCTTTTGGGCAGGATGAAGGCAAGGTTCCGGAAGTGGTTTGACAAGCAGGTCGAAGAGTAGACCGTTGGCTTGTGTTGTTTTTGAGTTGTTTCGGTTGTATCTCTTTTGTATTTTTCATTTTTGGTGTAATGATTATGACATTTGAGATTAATAAGATGAGTATTTCTTGGATTGACTTGTGGTTTCATGTGTTAAAGAAATATGTGCGAGTTTCTAAAAATAGAAAGTGTCGGGTTTGACGGTTCTATTTTTGGAAAGTCTCGGGGTGGTGGTTAGTATAGCATTGCGATGCTATAAGTGGACCACAGGAGGTATATCTGATCGAGAGATATGCTCGGAGGCGTTTAGACTTATTTGCTTGGATATGATGTGATGGCCTCGGATGACGATTCGAGTGCACGCTTGAGGGTGACGACCCGAGAGCGACCGTGAGACTTCCCGGATACCTTAGCTAGAAGGCGGGTAGCCTAATAGTGAGCCGGTATGACTTGAGGGTTGCGACCTGAGAGCAGGGGGAGTGGTGAGACTTCCTGGATATCGTAGTCTAAGGTTGAGGCCTGAGGACGAGCCGGTATGATTCATGGGTTGCGACCTATGGATGGGGGAGGTGGGTGTGTATGAGCAAATAGGGTCTCGAACGTGAGTATATTGATTAGATAAGGGCCTCAGAGAGGTCAGTGGTGTACTGACGGACGTGTTGAAGGATTCGAGGACAAATCCTAGTTAGTGGGGGAGAATTGTAACGCCCGTGACCGGAAATCCGGGTGGTATCGATCGACACTTTGGTCGGGTGTCGATCGACACTAGTAATTTTGGTTTAACGGTTTAAGATCGTCAGTTTAATTGAGGCTTGGTTTGGGGAAACCTAGGTTTAACGGTTATAAGCTTTGGAGCGCCGTTTCTCTCTTAAAACTTCACTTTGTCGCTTTGTGAGTTTATGAGAGAATAGAGAGTGAGTTTGATCATTTTTGGTGCCTTTGAGTGGGTTTTAGGAAGGATCAAAGCTTGTTCTTGGTGGTTCAAGGCTAGAGGAAGGTTGATCTGTGGTGTTTGGTGTCTGTGGAGATCGTTTCCACCCTTGCAAGTCCCTGTTCGTTGCTGTTCTTTCTTGTTTAAAGAGGTGAGTGCATGACCAGGCTTATCTAAGCATGTTTGATCATTTTTTTAGGAGTTTGATGATTGTTTGATTAATTTCTTTGCTTGTTTGGCTGTTTATTTGA